ATATATATAAAATATATATATATATATATATATATATATATTATATATATTATATATGGTAATATTTCATTATATGCACTTTTATTTAGGAGGAAAAGGAAACAGGGATTTGCAAATATAAATATAATAGAACTTGTGAACAATTAAAGATGTTTTAAAACTAAAATTAACGAAACTACTGAAAAAAAATAAAGTAAACTAACTAACTGCCTTACAACCAACATAGACCAACGAATCTAACAGACTGCTCACCGCAGCGGAGAATTTGCCGTCAGAGTTAAACTTGAGGAAGTCCCCCACCATGACCAGGACGGTTCCGGGAAGTGGGACAGCATCCACCCAAGTCTCGTCGTGGTCCTGAACCTGCAAGAGATTTGGGTGTAATTCGGAGATTGAAACACTCAGCAATAATGATCTTGGATAGTCTCCAAAATAGAAAGTTCACTCTGCTCTCTTCCGCCAGTTCCTACCCGCGCTTTCCTTTCCCGTACCTCAATGCGCCTAAATAGAATGAAATATTGTACTGTATAAATTATTTATGCAGTCAAATATCTGTGTTTCAAATATGAAGCTGATCAGAGGAGGAATTCAAAGGCTAATGAGTAGAAACTAATATCCAAAGGTCTTAAAAAAAAGCAGTCTCTAATTATCAAACAGAAACCTTTAACAAAAATGACAAATTAGGACTTACAAAGCCTTATAAAAAATTGAAGCTGCTCAGAAGAGGCAGTCTCAATGATACAACACAGAGAATGATACAACATAGCATTTAAAATTAAATTAGTTAAATTAGAACCTACACTGCCAAAGATCAACCAAAAATTTGTCTTGTGATTCATCAGCATTTATTGTTTGAAGTTGTTCAGAAGAGACATTCTCCAGTTATCGCAAAAGCAAAATATTTCATAAAATTGCTAAATTAAAAGTTAAACATCCTTAATAGAGTGTGACCCATCACTGGAGAAAGTTTGGCTACCATTAGAGAAGACATTCTCCAGTTATCACAGAATCCAACTGGTCCCGGTTTTTTAATTATGTTAGCAATTTTTTTCAAATTTTCTCCTATTTAGTTCAGTTTTAGACTATGTCGTCGTTTTTGATAAGATTAATTAATTATTCAAGCCACTCAGAGGAGAGATACATTTGCATGTGTATATGAATTTCATTCTTATTTGCATAACAAATTCTTTTATTTTATACATTTATTCCATTTGTATCTCTATGTTATATAAAAAGATTATTTCAAATATGGGTAGTAAATCTTCTACTTACATAAATTTTATTAAAAATGTGCTGTTGGGAAATAATAATAATAATAATAATAATAATAATAATAATAATAATAATAATAATAATAATAATAATAATTAGTGTTTTAAACTATTATAAGTTTATTTTCAAATCTTTATTCCATAAACGTACATGAGCATGGATCATGGATAATACATAGACAAAAGTAATTACATAAAAACTACAAAAAACACACATCAATCATAAGTTAGGCTTCCTAAATATTTTCTCTCCGAAATTTTTCTTTCTATATCTCTTCATAGGAAGTGGTTAGGTTAGGTTAGTTTTGTAAGAAACGGGACAAGTGTTTCCTGACGCGAATCTGTCATATGACGACCCGTAAGCTTCAGCTTTTGGTCATCTGACCGAGGCCTTTCGCTGGGTTACAGGTCCACCGTTTTAAAAATTATATTGGAAGTGTTTCCAATGTCGCTGAGGACGTTCGAATTTTCCCATCCCCGCCACCTTCATTCCGTTACTCTCATCTCATAGTTTCAACAAATTGCATCCAATATATATATTGTGCTCTTGGTTAGACTTTGCCAGTTAATCAGTTATCCGTTTTACGTTCCATTCTCTGCAGAAATGATGTTATTAGTTGTTTCACTTGTGCTTTCACTGGTGCTCTAAACATCCCAGAACGCATCTCAGTCACGCCGACTGTAGGGCTTGCTAACTCTCATCACGTAATAAAAACGCTTATGCTAACTCATATTTTTTCACCTTATTAGCTCTTATCACTTTTCACTTGCAAGGTTTACTTAACTCATAAACACTTTTAGCTCATAATCATTTAGAAGTAGGACTCACTAATATAGTCCTGATGACTATAAAGTTTCATAAATAATTCGCTCTCCTCTGTATGACTTACCAACAACAACACCAGAAGCAGATCCGGCAGCAGATTCAGCAGCAGCAGGAATGGTGACAGCAAGTAGAGAGGGTTTCCTAGGGATTCGTAGAGGAGGAGGTCTCTGAGACGAGTAACCGCTCGACACCTCTGCGCTCATAGGTCCTCAGCCCCGAGCACCGGTCACTCACTAGCTTGATACAAAATTCCTCCTACTTTTCTCCAGTCTCTTACACAATTTTCAGAATGCCACTTTTAGTGTTTATTACATAAATTATGTTCACATGAAAGCATGTCAAATTGTGTATAAGCATATTTCATAATGAATTGATCCTTAATCGCTTTCCTTGTGAAATTCTGAATACTTTTGAGATGGCTTTGTGCTTAAGATAATTTGTCAACATAAATACAAAATAAATCTCATACAGCACAGACAAACTTTTTTTCGTGCTGCATGTGATTGGTCATTACGTACATTCCATGTTGAGAATATCTTTCAATGAATTAATTGAAAAGGGGGGAAATAATTCTTTGACTATATAGTGAGTCCAAGAATATTAACCTATTTATTTACATAAATGGTGACCTAATGACTCATTTCTGTGTCACGGGAATTTAAAATATTAATTTTGACGTGGGGAGATGGATCAACTTCCTAACAAATCGAACACAAAGAGTACTGGTCAACAGAGTTAAATCGGAGGCTGCCATAGTGAAGAGCTCTGTTCCACAAGGCACCCATCTTATTCCTCACCCTCATATCAGACATAGACAGAAATATACATCACAGCACCGTATCATCCTTTGCGGATGATACTAGGATCTGCATGAGGCTGTCATCTGCTGAGGACGCGGTTAACCTCCAAGAAGATATAAACAAAGTTTTCCAGTGGGCAACGGTAAACAATATGATGTTCAATGAGGACAAATTCCAACTACTCCGTTATTGAAAACTGGAGGAGATAATAACTAGAACAGAGTATACTATAGACTCTGGCCATACAATAGAGCGGAAAAATAATGTAAGGGACCTGGGAGTAGTAATGTCTGAGGATCTTACTTTCAAGGATCACAACAGTGCCACGATCGCACGTGCAAAGAAAATGATAGGATGGATAATGAGAACATTCCAAACGAGAGATGCCAAGCCCACTTGTTCTCTCTAGGCTGGAATACTGCTGTACATTAACATCTCCATTCAAAGCAGGTGAAATCGCAGATCTAGAGAGTGTATAGAGATCCTTTACTGCACGTACAAGTTCTGTCAAGCACCTTAACTACTTTGAAAGCTTGAAAGCACTTGACTTGTACTCGTTGGAACGCAGGAGGGAGAGATATATCATAATCTACACTTGGAAAATCCTGGAAGGAATGGTCCCAAATCTGCACACAGAAATCACTCCCTACGAAAGTAAAAGACTGGGCAGGCGATGCAAAATGCCCCCAATTAAAAGTAGGGGCGCCATTGGTACACTAAGGGAAAACACCACAAGTGTCCGGGGCCCAAGATTGTTCAACAGCCTCCCATCAAGCATTCGGGGAATTGCCAATAAACCCCTGGCTGCCTTCAAGAGAGAGCTGGACAGATACCTAAAGTCAGTGCCGGATCAGCCGGGCTGTGGCTCGTACGTTTTACTGCGTGCGGCCAGCAGTAACAGCCTAGTTGATCAGGCCTTGATCCATCGGGAGGCCTGGTCATGGACCGGGCCGCGGGGGCGTTGATCCCCAGAATAATCTCCAGGTAACCTCCAGGTAACCTCCAGGTAAATGTTTGTCACATTTTTATATTCATGTGCTATAATTCAACTAAGGCAAAACGTCCGAAACGTTTTACAGCTGCAGTCTTCTGAGAATTCATCTCACACTTTTATACACGAAGATTCACCTGAATATCGCTGTTTATGTTAATCACACCTATAGTTTCACCTAGCAAGAGACATACCCGAATACTTACATTTTCATTATCTATTATGAGATTGTCATTCTCTACCCCCATCACTTCTAAAGTTGTATAATACAATGCATTGGCATTAGTAGGGCATTTGTCAGTAATGTTTACTGGAAAAATAATGGGTTTAGTATTATTCAGATGAAGCTGCAATGTCCACGAGAATCATGTAAGATTTATCCGGGATGTCATTTGCCCAGGCAATTTCCAAAACCAAGTGCAAGTGAATTTGGTTAGTTTCGAAAAATGTAGGATTTAGATAGAGTGTGTCAACCTGTAAATATGTCAGGCAGTAAATATGGTTGACATATTCAGAATTAAAGCAAAAAGCACATTTTTATAGGGACTCACCTTATTCACCTTTAATTTGATCAAATTAATTCTTAACAGGATTATGCGAGGGATAACCCAGGTGGGTCGTGCTAATTCGTGTCACAGTCTCCGTTCAACATTGCCAATGACGCATTGGTGTAAGATGTTACTCTCTAACAGCTTATAAAACGCATCTTCCTCTATATTTTACCAGTAAAATAGCAACGATCGAATCATTCTTCGACATTTATTCGGCTAGGAAAATGCACGTCTTCATTGTTGAAGATTTAAGGGTTTAGGTGCAGAGACTGATATTGTCCAATGATATTTAAGAGCATCGGCAAATTAGATGGCAATAAAATTTCATCAGAACAAAATTTTGAGCAGAGAACGATTACATAATGTCTCATTAAATATAACACTCAAAATTATGAATAATTCAGTTTATAGAATACTTTTGCTTGATGTTAACAAGTATGCAGAAACCTATAAATACATTTCAGATAAATAAATATTTAGTAAAGCTTCCCGAGATCTTTTCTGTAAGATGTGACACATTTAGGTCAAGACAGAGACAGCTGAATATCAAAGGTATAATACATTCAAACTAGTACATGAATAAGATACAATATGAAATTTATGTCATTTCCCTAGAAGAAACGTCTTCTCAGTAAAAGCCATGAATTTCATATTCTGTCTGATTCACATTGAGGCATTTGTACATTCATTATAAAAATGATTGCAAACCACCTTCTCTACTATGGCTTCCAAACTGTTGGGATTGCTAAGAGCAAATTGCACTACTTTTAGTGCAAGGTTTTGTAGGCACATTGTTGCGATGACGTTAAGTTGCTACACAGTGTTACTGATATCAACATATTATGAACATGCTAGTTTTACACTTAGCAAGAAACATTTAAAGCTATTATTTGAACTACATCCTCAAATTACTTTGGTTTAAACTTTAAACTGAAGGACAGAATCCTTACACCTTTACGCTCAGATCCTGTTTATAAATATAATGTCCCATTTTATAGTTTAGGTATATTGGTATAAAGTGTAGGGAGAATTAGGCTTGTTGAGATTAGAAAGGGTTCTCGTAATATTAGTGAGCTCATAGCTTTGAAACCTAAGCTTTGTTTTGTAAAGATAGCAGGACAAATAAAGAAGTCATGTAGAGCGAAGATCCGTTATATTTCTCACCACTGGTGACCCCACAGTAAGTTTAAGTGGAACTTATATAGTTCAGATATGGAAACATTGAAGAGGAGGAGCGCAAGTAATGTTAAGTTTTGACGATGAAAGGTATGTTATAAATATAAAGAGCAGCGACGTTTCGGTCCGACTTGGACCATTCACAAAGTCACAGTGTTTGTAAATGGTCTAAGTCGAATCGAAACGTCGTATGTTCCTCTTTCCTACTCGCGGGTTATGTGTGTATTGTCATATATATAGATTATTAATGCAAGGTCACCATATGATACAGAGAGTAAATTGAATGATCTCCTTCATGCATTTATTGTATATAAAGATTTTCTGAATAATTTATATATATTTACGCAATAAGATCATAGTACACACGTGATTCCACAATATGTAGAACAACCACTGTGAAAAAATAGTGAAATTCCAAGCACTTTCGTGATTTCTCACGAATCGGTCTGTTGCTTCACTGCCACAAATACACCTGTGTTCGGAGAGAATAGGGGCGGCAAGTCGAAGGGCAACACCAATGCGGATGGTCTGTGGGTCGAGACTTGTGCCAAGGCCGGAGTTGGGAACAGCCAACAGGAAGTCCCCTGCATGATGAGCTCTCACTGCCAGCAGGCGGGATCTATCCTTCCCCGACACACTCTGAAGCACTGTTGAGGCTATGTTCTTCACTACTGGGCCATCCCAGTGTGACTGGCTGTAGTTGTTGGGGGAGCAGGACTGGTTTCAGAGCTCGTTAGATTATCCCAGATCCTGGCCCCGTCAATGAACTTTTGGTCATGAACTACAATCTTGTCCCTAAGATGTTTAGGGAGAATCGCTGCTACAAGCCCTCTGGATGCGACGCATGAGGACAGAAAAGCAGGTAGCGCAATCTGTGATGACTTGCGGACACCAATACCTCCTAGTCTGATAGGAAGTGTAGCTTGGTCCCATTGCCCATCTTCTTGAGTTAGGTTAAGTACTTTCGTAAAAATCTGCCTCAGGATACTGTCATATTCATGCAGTATAGGGTTATCATATGAAGGCGCACATCTTAAGAAATATGTCATCCTGGGCAGACTCAAACACTGTGAGAAAGTACAAGGCATCGTGGGTATCAAAAATGCCTATTCGTTGTTCCATTCTCCTCAACGCTTCCAGTTTCTTCCTGAGAATTGTGTCAATGGCATCGCTCCCTGAGGTGTTCCAAGCAAGACGCTATTTGTGGGGGCAATGACTGATGCTCCTGATAGTTTTGATCTTACTGTTTCTATCACTTGTTGATTGACTTAGATGATTTCACATTTGGATGGATTCAGGATGAGACCCATTTCTTGTCCCCGTGTCATCACCTGTGTAAGATCATCTAGAAGGGATTCCTTAGTACATGCTAGTGTACTATCATCTAGGAGCCAGATATTTAGCCATCATCTAGGAACCAGCATCTTGTGTTGATCATAAACCTAAACTTCCCTGAGACTCTTCGAGCATGAGAGTCTAGAGCAAAGCAAACTAACCTGTAGACCACCCGCATCGTCTTGAAAGAGGAAGGTTAGTGTGCCAAAGTCGGAGTGGGCGGCGAAGCGGGTGATTCCTTGAGGCACAGTGTCAGGCACGGGCGGGTAGTGGTTTACACGAAGGCAGGTGAGGCCCTTCTCTGTGCCCAGCTCCCGGTGCATGCTGATGAAGTACTCTTTCTCTCTGCCTGTGTGGAAGAAAAATCTTTGCTATATCCAAACTACCAACATTAGCTAGTCACATGTGTGACTAGCTACTGTTCTAAGTCCGACCGAAACGTTGTCATAAGTTTCACTCTCCTATGGCTAGCTGGTTGGTTAAGAGCGTTTAAAGCCCATCGACTGCACTAGTGTCATTATGGCTGCACGTAACTTCTACACCACAAGCCAAAGCACTTTAATTCCTAAGATTGGGACTAAACTAAACTCTCATCATATAACCACTTAGACAAATACATCTAAATGCTTAGCATTTCGAACTCTGAGTTTGCTCGTTGTCTTACCAATGTACCGAGGCTTACATATTGTACAGGCATACTTATATGCAAAAGAAGACTGTAGGCGTGGAGAACACTGTGGACAGTATTCCGGAAGTAACTTAGTAAACCTGTTACTAATATTGTAACTATTAATTCCAATAAATGGTAGGTAATTTACAATTTTTTTTATTGCATAAGTTAATTTCATATTAGGATACTGATTATTTAAGTAATCAAAGAATAATTGGACATGTTCAGGAGACCTGAAAACTAAAAATGTATATTTTGCGTATCTCCGATACAACAGGTGTTTGGACAAGACACCACTCTCACGAGCCCTCCGAGGGCGGGGAAGGTGCCAGAGCCAGAGCTTGCTACCACCCGCAGCTCACATGTTACTTGTAAATGTTACACAATTTAAAACTTTTTCTTTTCTAAAGAACTGTTCAATATTTAATTATTTCATTGTACTATATCTTCCTTGTACGTGGAATCTTTGTTTACTAATATTCCTCTAGTTGACACGATGAATATATGAGCAAGTCAACTATTCCAGGACCACTTCTATGAATTGTCGTCATTATGAGTAAGTGATTGATTGCTTCTTTGTTTTTCCTAGCAAAAATACTCCCTCTGAACGTGTTTGCTATATATATATATATATAAAAATATATATATATATATATATATATATATATAATATATATATATATATATATAATATATATATAATAGAATAGATAGATAATGTCGTGCCTAATAGGTAAACTTGTGATTTTTGGGGCATAAGGCAAGTGAAAATTTGTGTATGCAATATTTTCGCAAAAATCATTCTGAACCTAACGAAAAAATATATTTCGTTGTGTTTGTTTATTATTAAATTACTGTAAACTTATGTAAAATATATTTAGTTGGATTAGACTAAATTAAACTGCGCTTCTTGTAATAAGGTTAGGTAAGTTTTCTAAGGTGCTTTTCGTGCATAATTATTATTTTCTACTTTATCATAAATGATAAAAAAAATATATCTTTAAACGTATAAGAGAAAATTTTAGAATGGACTTAATTTCAAATGAGTTCTTGCTAATTGACCAGTTTTACCTATTCGGCACGACATATAAATATACATGTCGTGCTGAATAGATAAAACTGGTCAATCAGCAAAAACTCATTTAAGTTTAAATTCTTTCTAAAAATTTCTCTTATATGTTTAAAAATATATTTTTTTTAATTTATGTTAATGTAAAAATTCATATTTTTGTGCAAGAAGAACCTTAGAAAACTTACCTAACCTTATTATAACAAGCGCAATTTAGCCTAATCCAAGTAAATAAACTTTTGATAAGTTTACAATAATTAAATAGCAAATAAACACAACGAAATATATTTTTCTCGTTAGGTTTAGAATGATTTTTGCGAAATTATTGCATACACAAGTTTTCGCTTGCTTTATTCAGTAAGAAGAGAATTGCTATTTAAGCCAAAAGCGTAAGTCTTACCTATTCCTCGCTGCAATAATATATATATATATATATATATATTATATATATATTATATATATATATATATATATTATATATATATATATATAGATAATAGTAGAGAGAGAGAGAGAGAGAGAGAGAGAGAGGACCTCAAATCTGCAATCAAATTAACATCCACCAGGACTCTGACACACATCCCCAAAGCAGCTCGCCCTCAAGCTGCTAGCAAATTCACTGACCTTCTGAAGAAAGTCAACGATGCTCCTTCAAACAACAGATCCTGGCACAACTTGCTGCTTTTTGGCAATGCCTGTTTGGCTGTCCCACCAAGGAGGGACAAGTCACTAGCAACACATGTTATTAGGGCAATAAATGCAACCTCGTCCGTCTCCCCCCTAGGGCGACAAACACCCGCCGGGCAAATGCCAACAACAGGACACCCGACACCTCAAAAATCAGAGCCCAAATTAGCAAAAAAATAGAAGAGGGTAATACTATTGGAGCTTTGAGACTTATAACCAGTGAGGATACCATCGCTCCCAAGGACGTCAGCACGGCGCAAGCTCTGAAGGACAAACATCCACCCAGGGCTCCCAGTACCAACATTGACCTCCCTGACATTGCAGCAGGCGTAGAACATCTAACCTTACAGGATGCTGATATGTATAAAGCTGCTATGTCATTTCCACAGGGTTCAGCAGGAGGTTTCACCGGTTTAAGGCCTCAACACTTAAAACAAATACTCAATCCAGCACTTGGTGAGGTTTCAGAGAGGCTGCTGTCTGAACTCACCAAATTTTCCAACCTGTGCCTGGCTGGCGGTGTTCCAGAGGCCATCAGACCCTTTTTCTTTGGTGCCTCATTGTGTGCCCTCCGGAAAAAGGATGGCGGAATCAGGCCATTGCAGTGGGTAACACCTTCGGCGCCTAGTCGCCAAGGCTGCAGTAAGAAGGGTGAGTCAAGAGGCTGCTGCAATGCTGAAACCAACTCAGCTCGGTTTCGGCGTTCAACAGGGCTGTGAAGCAGCTGCCCATGCAGCACGAGTATATATCAAAAACATGTCCTATGAAAAAGCCTTGGTCAAATTGGACTTTGCCAATGCTTTCAACTCAGTCAGAAGGGATGCTGCTCTCCAAGCAGTTTATAGAAACTTCCCTTCCCTTTATCCCTTCATTGAATCGTGTTATAGTGTGGCTTCCAAACTATTGTTTGGGGACCATGAAATTGACTCGTGTGAGGGCGTGCAACAGGGGGACCCTCTCGCCCCCTTTCTATTTTGTTTGGTCATCAAGGAAGTCACGGAGGCACTCTCCAGTGAGCTCAGTATCTGGTTCCTGGACGATGGTACCCTAGCTGGCACAACAGAATCTCTCCTAGAGGACATCAGTAAAATTAAAGACATGGGAGAAAGCCTGAGCCTTTCTTTAAACCCCACCAAATGTGAAATAGTTTCTACCAATCAACAGATGATCCAGAATATTAGTGCCGTTTTACCAGGAGCACGAGCCATTGATCCAGCCAATAGCACTCTCCTCGGTGCTCCACTTGGGTCCAATGCCATCGATCTGATCCTAGGAAAAAAAGTCTCAGACCTCCGGACGATGGAAAGCAGGATGAAAGACATTGACACACACGATGCCTTCTACCTACTCACCAGGTGCCTGTCAATCCCAAAACTTACCTATTTTCTGAGATGCTCCCCAGCCTTCAGCAGTCCAAAACTCAAGGAATATGACTCTCTCCTGAAAGCCATGCTAGAGAGTGTATTGAATCTTTCCCTTGACGATGGACAGTGGTTGCAAGCCTCACTTCCGGTCAGGCTTGGAGGGCTGGAGTACGCAGATCCTCCCAGATTGCTCTACCAGCTTTCCTGTCCTCTTCCATTGCATCAAACGAGTTGACAAGACAAATTCTTCCTGACACCCTCAGTGACTCAGCAGGAATAGAAGACCCTAGCTATGCCAGTGCCATCACCGAATGGGAGACTCTTGCTGCTCCAGCACCAAACCCTAGTGCAGCACTGGCTCACAAACAGTCAAGCTGGGATGGCCCAATTGCTGAAAAGGTGCTTGCCAACATGCTCAGGGCTGCAACATCAGATAGGGAGATTGCCCGTCTCCAGGCTGTGAGTGCACCTCACTCCGGGGACTTCCTCCAAACAGTTCCCATATCGGCAATGGGAACGCGACTCGACCCTAAGACCCTCCGTATTGCAGTGGCTCTGCGCCTTGCTGCCCCAATTCACACAGAATATATGTGTATTTGCGGCGAAGTGCAAGCAGACCAATACGGTCTACATGGTCTTAACTGTTCCAAAACCAAGGGCTGGCATGCAAGACACAATGAGGTCAACGACATCATTAAGAGAACCCTTGCTACAGCTGGATGCCCTGCCGAGAGGGAGCCACGATCCCTTGCAGCAAACAATACCCACAACCCAGCAAACCGCCTCGACGGGATCACCATCTATCCTTGGAAGAATGGCAAGCTCTTAGCATGGGACTATACCTGTGTGTCCACACTGGCTGACACCTATATCCATCACAGTGTGGGGCGACAGGGAGGAGCTGCTGACCACAGGGAGGAGTACAAGATCAGCAAGTACAGGGACATTAGCCAACAGTATCAATTTATCCCAGTGGGATCAGAGACCTTGGGATCATGGGGAAAAAATGCCACACGTTTCCTTAAAGAATTGGGTTCCAGACTCATCGACACCACCAGGGACCCAAGGGCAGCCACTTTCATGTTCCAGCGCTTCAGCGTCGCCATCCAGAGGGGAAATGCTTGCTGCATACTTGGCTCACGTCCAGCCTCGGAGGAGCTGGAGGAAATTCATGATCTTTGATACATTGTGCCATTGTATTCATGTTTATGTTTTTTCTGTAAATGTATTTTGTTTATTAATAAATGTTCACATAGAATAAAAAATATATAGGGGGTGGTAGGAGAAGAAAATATTCAAACAGCTGGGGGGAAAACCTTGATTTTTCCCTGAGGTATTTTATTGTCTTCTTGAGGATGGGTCCCCATTCCAGCTTGAGGGGGTTTTACTTCCCTATTATATATATATTATATATATATTTTAAAAATTTATTTTATATATTATATATATATTTTAATATATATTTATATATATATATATTTATAAGAGAGAGAGGGAGAGGGGGGAGAGAGAGAGAGAGAGAGGGGTTGCAAACAATCGCAAAAGGGGCGATCTTTTTAGGAAAACCCACTTTTAATGTTTGAGTAGAAAGTGTTCATTTTGCTCATGTATGGGTTTAAAAAAGTGTACCATATGTTGAATGTATTGTGGTGTTTAAAACTTTTTTTGGTGTTGAATTTTTAAGGGTGTGGGTATTAAAGTTGTAAAAACTAAAATTTGTGCTTGTAATTTTTTGGTTGTTTTTTACCGGTTTGACTCATTTATGACTTTATTTTTTTGATATAAAAAATTATTGTTTTTTTTTGTCTGCGTTTAACAATGACTATAAGGAAGTATAGTTGGATCCCCCTTTTTATAATAAATTGTCTGGACCGAGTGTTTGATGTGAAGGTCATAATGATCTTTGCAAACTTCTGATTTTTAATGCGAATTAACAAACAGTATTTTTAGGCACTGTGCGGTCGTGCTTAGGGAGGGCATCGAACCTTCATATCTTTCTGGTAAATTTTCCCTGTTAAAAATTAATGAAAAAATATGTGGACCACCAAGACTGAGTGCTGTGGCCGCCATACTTGATGGCGAGGGATTTGCAGGATGGATGGGGAGATGAGGGCGGTTGAAGGAGGGGATTCTGCATCAGGCAAAATCCTCCCCCTCTTGACAAGGAATCCCTCGTTCAGCTTCTCGGGGTCTGGCGGGGTATTGTCCCAATATTTATAAATGTAACTTAAAGATTTTTATTATATTAAAATGAAGTGCTTCCCGTTTGGGTTACTCAGCATAGCAAAGTATAAATACGAGGGAGTAATTTCTGATAAGATTTTAGAAAATGAAAATAACAGCATGCAAAGAGGAGCAAATGTGAAAAAAACTCGGTAAAAAAGTAGCAAAGTATAAATAAAAAAAAATTTTTTAAATTTGTACCTTCCACTAATCAAAAAATCTAAGTAAAACATTAAGCTAATTAATGCAAGATTATGCAGAGGGCTCAGCCAGAACCGCTTACTGTTCTCAGTCTCTCCCCTCGTACCCTACGGCTCTGCAGCACATCCACTTCTTTCCCTCCTCCTTCAAGTCTTATAGCTCCTATTAGCACTCACGTAATGTTCCCTTCACCTCTTCCTCCCGCTACATTAATATAGCTCCTGACAGTACTCACTGTTCTCTGTCTCCGCTAATGAAGCCAGAGTTGGTCTCCAGATTATATGCAAACTGGTCCTTTATATTCCTGTCCAGGGAGAAGAAGTCCATACCTGAAGAGAGTAAACGACTCACCTGAAAGAAAGAAAATGCGTGAGAATACTGGGGAAACACTCAGAAAATAAGACCTTACAATGACTATTGATGTTATCAGACAGGAAAGCAGACTTTTCGTCAAGCTACTGATATCTGTATCTAGATAGGTGAGGTTAAGATATTATAATAGAAGGCTCTCGCCCTACCTTCCAGCAGCACTGCCAACATGAAAAGCTGGATAAAGTTTATATGTTGTATTTAAAAAGTGCATGGATATAAAACAGAAATGGCAAGTTTGGACTTCTTATTATTACCGCTGCTGCTATTACTGTGTTTTATATGATACAAGTAAATTAAGGACATTTCTTCAGAATTTCTGTTATCTTATTTCTATTAAGCACATGCATTCAGAAACCTTTAAAAGCAGTTAAAGCCGATCCTAAATCTAGCTACCACAACTGTGCTTGTCTACATTCATATTAACATAACATGTAATAAATCAACTAAGGCTTTCCGTCCTTTCTTATTACCTTTCAGTTATTGTTTTACTCTCCTAATATGGTACGTTCTATCCTAATAGTTTTTTAATGCTTTACAAAGAATATATTAGACATTATCCTTCAAGGTATTTTCTTTGGCAATTTCATCAGAGTTATTATGTACGAATAAGTCAAAAGATGATGGTTTCTTATAAGATATATACTCCGGATTCTTGCGCATATATATCCCTAGACTTTCACATGTCAATAATTGTCAAGGTGTTAAGAACATTAATATAACCTAACTTTAGTGTTATCACGAGAACAAGCAATTCACTTTCTAATATGGAAATCCAATTGTTACTTTCCATGAATAACACAACATGATTAATGTGTTTACCCAAGTACATGGCAACGAGAGCAGTTGCTACACTGCCAGAGGACTCAAGTTATGTACTATCACGTATATAACTGTTCACCTTTGCTGACTGACTTAGTCAACAGATTTTTTTCGTTTGGAGATGCCCCTCCCAACCCTTCTCTCTCTCTCTCTCTCTCTCTCTCTCTCTCTCTCTCTCTCTCTCTCTCTCTCTCTCTCTCTCTCTCTCTCTCGCTCTCTCGCTCTCTCGCTCTCTCGCTCTCGCTCTCGCTCTCGCTCTCTCGCTCTCTCGCTCTCTCGCTCTCGCTCTCGCTCTCTCTCTCTCTTCACGAACACAAAGTGGGAGTGGTGTTAGTTGTTTTTTCTGATGGCACTGTGCTTTTGGGAGATTCTGAAGAGAGGTTGCAGAGGTTGGTGAACGAGTTTAGAAGGGTATGTAAGAGCAGAAGATTAAAAGCGAACGTAGGAAAGACCAAGGTAAGGAGGATCACAACAAAAAAATTTGGTAATGAAAGACTGGATATCAGATTAGAGGGAGGGAGGGAGTATGGGAGAAGTGAATATACTCAGGTATTTGAGAGTGGACTTGTCAGCAGATAGGTCTATGAAAGACTAGGTAAATCATAGAACTGATGAGGGGAGAAAAGGTGAGTGGAGCACAGAGGAGTCTGTGGAGACAAAGAACGCTATCCATAGCAGCAAAGAGGGGAATGTATGAGAGTATAGGGGTACCACTGCTCTTATACGGGTGTGAAACATCGGTAGTGAATGTTGAAACAATAAGAAGGCAGGAGGCAGTGGAGATGTCGTGTCCTAGTGCAGTGTGTGTGGTGTGAATACAATGCAGAGAATCAGTAGCTTGGAGATAAGAAGGGGGTGCAGGGTTTCAAAAAGTATTATCTAGAGAGCAGAGGAAGGGGTTGTAGGTAGTTCAGATATTCAGAGAGGATGGAACGAAACAGAATGACTTGGAGGGCATATAAATCTGTAGTGGAAAGAAGGCGGGTAGGTGTCGTCCTAGAAAACGTTGGCGGGAGGGGGTAAAGGAGGTTTTGTGTGTGAGGGGCTTGGACTCTCAGCAAGCGTGCTTGTATGTGTTAGATAGGAATGACTCTAGACGAATGATTTTTATGCCTTGACACGATGTTGGAGTATGACCAAAGTGACATTTATGAAAGGATTTAGGTAAACAGATTAGCCGGAGTTGAGTCCTAGCGGTGTGAAGTACAGTGTCTGCACTCTAAAGGAGAGGTGGGGATATGATGCAGTTTTTTAACTATAGTATAGGCACGCCTCTGACAGGACAGTGATGGAGTGAATGAAGATGAAAGTGTTTCTTCTTTTTCGGGTCAACCTACCTCGGTGGGAAACTATAAAATAAAAGATTAAAAGGAAGGCATACGAGGACGAGACTACACCTCGCGGCCACCTCAACAACACCTGACTTTTTATGATGACGTAGGTAAGTAGGTAGTCAAGGATCCGTGAAACACAACTTATATTCTACCCAAAAGTTTAATTTGTCTAATGTATCTTAAATTCTTCCCAAATTTTAATAATTATCAATGAATCCAATTTGTATAACCCAAAAGCAATATTCCTATTGTTTTCAAAAATATTTTTTATGAGACTTTATTCTAGTATATTCGTGTCGACCATGGACTTGCTAGATACAACTTTCTCAGCCTTTTGAAAATCAATTAAATGGTTAAAATCTCTCACACGAATAAACAGTGCATTAGAATGTTGTCCTCTGCTAAAGCTATATTTATGCTTTTTTTAATGTTAGTTCAAGACTTTTACCAGTTTGATTATAATAAACATTATCACATTTTTTATAAGGAGCCTTGTAGACATAGCCCTCAGTATTTTGGGGGAATTTTTTATCAAAAGTTTTTTTTATTGTATCAAGATTTTTTAAACACAACTTTGATGTTAAAATTCTTAGGAAGAGAAGGTATATCAACCAAGTTTTCGTGGTAAGGGAGAACCAACATATTTTTAATTGAATAAGGTTGGTTGTCCCTTCTTGAATTATTTAAAATATTTCTAGCAATTTTAAAAGATTTATCAGCTAAGTTTCATGAGTATGTCATAAATTTTCGAGATTTCTTCATCTATGAACTCAGAGCTGCAAAGACCTCAAAAACATTGATGAGATAACGTTCAACTTTATCTTGATACGAAGAATAATAGTGTATATAAGAACACTGTTTTGTTGATTTTCTGTAAATTTTAAATTTAAAATCATGGTTCCATTAATAAATAAAACATCGAGAAAAGGCAATGAGTTATTTTGATCAAATTCAACAGTGAAATTTATGGAATGAGGTACATTATTTAATTTATCAAGGAAATGGTTTATATCTATATTCTTAGACATCAGACATAAAATATAATCAACATATCAATAACACTTAGATCTTTTGGAAAGAATTTTGTTAAGTAATCTTGTCTCAAAATATTCCATATTTAAATTACAAAGGACAGGTGAAATTCCCAGTTCCATACCAGAAATTTGGCATGGCAATAGGAATTTCACTATTTTCTCACAATGCTTATTCTGCACCAACACCACACATTAAAAATATAAATTAAATATATATTATATAATATATAATATATATTATTTATATAATAATATAATATATATTTAAAAATATAATTTTATATCGGGAGCAAAAGGGTAGTAACCCCTTTCTTAGAATTTTCTAAAAAAGGAGAAGAAAAACTTTATAAAAAAGGGAAAGTTAAAAGTGCTGGATTTTGTGCGGGTGAAAGAAAAAGATGATTGCGATGTTAGAAGAAAAAGTTGGATGTCCTGGCCTAAACGAAAAAAGCGAAGGGGTGGGGAATTTCAGTGGGGGGAAAAAAATGGAATTTAAAATTTGGGGTATCTGAGGAGTTAGGCAAAAGAAGGGGTAGCAGTAATGTTGAATGATCAGTTATGGAAGGAGAAAAGAAAATATGAATGTGCAAATTAAAAAATTATGTGGATTAAAGTAAAGCTTGGATGCGAGAAGTGGGTCATAATAAGCGTGTATGCACCGGGGAGAAGAGAGGAATGCAGAGGAGAGAGAGAGATTTTGGGAGATGTTAAGTGAATGTATAGGAGCCTTTGAACCAAGTGAGAGAGTAATTGTACCAAGTGAGAGAGTAATTGTGGTAGGGGACCTGAATGCTAAAGTAGGAGAAACTTTTAGAGAGGGTGTGGTAGGTAATTTTTGGGGTGCCAGGTGTAAATGATAAGGGAGCTCTTTGATTGAACTTTGTATAGAAAGGGGTTTAGTTATAGGTAATACATATTTTAAGAAAAAGAGGATAAATAAGTATACAAGATATGATGTAGGGCGAAATGACAGTAGTTTGTTGGATTATGTATTGGTAGATAAAAGGCTGTTCAGTAGACTTCAGGATGTACATGTTTATAGAGGGGCCACAGATATATCAGATCACTTTCTAGTTGTAGCTACACTGAGAGTAAAAGGTAGAGGGGATACAAGGAGAATAGAAGTATCAGGGAAGAGAGAGGTGAAGGTTTATAAACTAAAAGAGGAGGCAGTTTTGGTAAGATATAAAACAGCTATTGGAGGATAGATGGGCTAATGAGAGCATAGGCAATGGGTCGAAGAGGTATGGGGTAGGTTTAAAAATGTAGTGTTAGAGTGTTCAGCAGAAATTTGTGGTTGCAGGAAAAGTGGGTGCGGGAGGGAAGAGGAGCGATTGGTGGAATGATGATGTAAGAGAGTAGTAAGGGAGAAAAAGTTAGCATATGAGAAGTTTTTTTCAAAGTAGAAGTGGTGCAAGGAGGGAAGAGTATATGGAGAAAAAAAGAGAGGTTAAGGAAGGGGATGAAGCAATGTAAAAAGAGAAACAAATGAGAGAGTGGGTGAGATGTTATCAACAAATTTTGTTGGGAAAAAAAGAAAAAAATTTTGGAGTGAGATTAACAAGTTAAGAAAGCCTAGAGAACAAATGGATTTGTCAGTTAAAAATAGGAGAGGAGAGTTATTAAATGGAGAGTTAGAGGTATTGGGAAGATGGAGGGGAATATTTTGAGGAATTGTTAAATGTTGATGAAATAGGGATGCTGTGATTTCGTGTATAGGGCAAGGAGGAATAACATCTTGTAGGAGTGAGGAAGAGCCAGTTGGGGAGTGTGGGGAGTTCGTGAGGCAGTA